GTGCCAAGTTGATTGATGGAGTCACGCCCTCCCTCCCCAAACTCAATGGAAGAGCTAGGCCATCCCTGTTCAGACTGATGCCTTAATTAAGGGACGTGCCAAGTTGATTGATGGAGTCACGGGCTGGGCTTCGTGCGAGAGGAGGGTAGATGTGGCAGTGAGCGATTTTTATCGTTACTTCTCTCAGAATCTCGCTAGCGATGCCCGGGGGAGACGCGCGGTTCTAGCTTCGTTCGGCCCTTCGAGGCAGATCCTGTGAGCTTGATCTGCTTCGATTGGTCGAGCGCGATAAGGTCACCGGATTTTGCAGGCCGCTGAGGGCGGTTCTCCTTCTGCAGATTTTGGAAGGACTTGTGGAAACTGAGTGGCGCCAGGAGCCTTCAACAGCTCCCACCGAATGCTGCAGAAGCTGCAGCTGCGCGGGCTGCCGCAGGGTGCGAGTGTCGTGTGTTGGCCACATTGCGATCGGCCTCTGAACTGCACAGGAGCGCACCTGTTTTGACGTCCCGTGGGCCAGAGGCAAGCGAGGCGTAAAGGGGTGCGGGGCGGGGTTCCAAGCATGGAGAACTCATGTTTTCAGGTCCCAGCTGCACGTTCAAAGCGGACGTTGTCTGGCTACTTTGTGCGGAGTGGAGAAGAGACCTCACAGGCAAGGCGCAGAGTGAGCTACATTCGCAGTGTTGCACATGGCTTTAGCTGTGCCCCTGCTGCAGGCGAAAGCCCCTCGGCACGAAGTACTACACCCGCCAGCGCGTGAGATGGCTGCGGGACAGCAGCGCCAGGCACCTGGTCTTGTGCCACGGTGGCTGCGTCCGGCTGCCTCCAAGTGTTGCATGTCCGCGAGTCCTGTTCGTTTTCTGAACATATGGAGTCCAGGGCGAGACAACCCAACACATTGAAGTCTGATGGCCTCCTGCATTAGTTCGCGTCCGTTGGCATCCAACTGTCACGCATTAACATGTATCTATACATGTATCTGTACACATGCACACACACACACACATATATATATATATATATGTATATATATACATATAAATATTCATACATACATACATACATTACATACATGCTACCCCACCCTCCGGTACCTAGGTTTTCGTGTTTATTCTGATGCTTTGCTTAAGTGCACCGAGGGGTGGGGCATGTCGCAAACATGAGTCAGCCATGTGTTATGGATGTTGTGTCAAGAGTCTGTGCCGAAAGCAACCAATATGTTTGCTTGAGCACCATGAGCAAGCACGAAAGAAATCGGACAGAAAGGCTGCGAGTGCATGCGCACGCAGACAGAAGCAAGGAATGGCATGGAAAGATTGTTTTGGCAGCCATGCCGGTGGTCGCAAGGAGCCAACATGCAGTAGTGAGCGAGTGGGGGTATGGCGAAGCAGGCCTACTGAAGCTCAAGCTCAATAAAAGAAAGAGCTTTGCAGGGCATGGGATGTTACGTAGCATCCCGGTGGCCACCCACACCGATTTCGTAGCAAGGTGGATAGCTATGTACATCCCGGTTTCTTATCATTTTCGAGGCAAGGTTCACTGTGTCAATTACTGTTGTGATTGTTATTGAGAGTATTCGTACATTGCTCAGAAACCTTGTTGAAGAAGGGCCAAGCATTACATATAAAATAAATGTGCTACTTGCTGAGTCCTGTGTGTATCCACTTCATTTTTAAATCTACCATTCAGCACCTTTTGAATATTCACGCTTGCGCTATGCAGACCTCTTGATAGGATGATGGTTAATCAAGCAACACATTTGCTTGTTACTAACCTGTTGAGAGTGGACTACTGTGTTCCAAGTCAAACATAATACGACATACCGTGGCTGTAGGTTCTATGTTCCGTTGCTAGTCGAGTCTTTCCTTTATTTCAGGCCCAGTTAAGCCGGACATGTTCATCTTAAGTGTGTGCATAATACAAGTCCTTTGCATTTTATTGGTCGGTCTAAGATTTGTAGTCTTTTTCAACTTCGTTGTCGACATTTAAATGACGACCATTCGACAATGATGTATGTCAGAATTCTGGTGCGAATGATAGTCTTTGGATGGAGGGCTCTTTCGTGTAAGCACATCAAGCCACACCAAAATATGCAGCAACACAACGACTACAGGCCCCCCATGCAAACACCAAGGAACACATGACACAAGTAAATACCATATACGTTTGTCCTCGGAAGTGTGTTCGTACAGAAACAGTTAGTTTTCCTATGGTAAATCTTGAACCGTAGACATGAAGTATAGCTTTGGGAGTGATAAGCAGACACAACAATGAACTGTTGTTCGCACAGTAATGTCTTCGAGCAGAGATGATTACCTAGTTTCGTGTTGGACAAAATACTCAGTTTAATCAAGGATGCGAATACCTTACCGGCCCATTTGTTGCAAACACACATCGCATGAGTACATAAGATGTCCTCAATCAGAAACTTCGGTAACACCGGTTTGAAATCTTTACCTGTGGACAATGTTGGCGAATCCGACTTTTTCAACCATCTCCATAAATTTGGAGAAACCTCGGGAGCCGCAGGCATTGTTCCCGTAATCATGGAAATTGTTGGAAACGTTGGCAAAACCAACATTTTCTATGATTCATCACAGCCAAATCATGGAAAATTTTGGTTTCACCAACATTGCCAACAATTTCCATGAATGTGGAGAGACCACGAGAGCCGGAGCCATAGTTTCCGGAATCATGGAAATTGTTCATGGAAGTTGTTGGTAAAACCAACATTTTCCATGATTCCCCACAGGCGAATCATGGAAAATGTTGGTTTTATCAACATGTCCAACAGTTTCCATGAATTTGGATGAGCATCGGGAGCAAAGACCATAGTGAACTCTGAGTCAAGAAACATCGTGTAAATCCTAAGTTTAGCTGCTAGACCTATGGTAAACAAAGGCTTGCTTTCCCATAGTGCAACAACCAAGGGACACGAACGCATGTTAGGGACAAGGCGGCTGACTTGAACNNGGGTTACCATATATATATATATATGACTGTGAGTATGTATGTATGTATGTATGTATGTATGTATGTACGTATGTATGTATGTATGTATGTATGTATGACCAAGAGGCCGAAGATGCTTCACTCCCAGACCGTATCCCAATTCGTCACTAAGCTCAATTCGGCATTCTGGTGAGCAGCAGTGGGTGAAAGGCCTGGTGAGACAGAGGCATGATGAATCCCAGCCGGGGGAGACGTCCCCTCTATTCATGTATCCGTACTGGCAGTAATTGCGTGCGTATATTCACAGGCTTTTTTTTGTCGCCCTGCTCAGCGACTCGCTCAGCAAAAACCAAAGATGACGTGCCCGACTGGCCTCGACACGCACCACAAGCAACATCAACGTATGAGTTGTACCCACGGAATGGGTAATTACTTGTATTTTGGCAGCGCCTGCAGGGTGTCCGCAGCCGCTATCCTCGGCCCCACAGAAACGATGCGGTCACCCTTCAGACCTTGCCCCAAGGCTGGATAAGACCCACAATGATGCCTGCCTATGGTCCGGTCCTAGTCCTATTTGCCAATCGTGTTCTTCTGGTTGTTGAAGCCCTGCTTTCCATCGACGTATCACTTCAAGCCACGTGTTGAAGTTGTTGTGGATCATGACCTACATATGGTCTAGCATATCCTCAATGCCCAGGGTGGAGGACGTGTACAGCCACTTTAGTACGGTCAAGCACCAGAAAGATCGGCAAGCGGTCTTGTTGCTCTGACGCAGGGCCGAGGGGCCCAGAACGAAGACACCCAGCAAGATCTGGTAGAACGCCTTACGTGCCACTATGATACTGCGAGGCAAGCTGCACGTCGATATGGGGCAATGCTCATGCTACTCAGTTACCCAACCAATCCAGACTTGCAAAAGACTGGCAGATCTTGTGGCTGTCTTGTCTCGCACCAGACGTACTGCTTCATCCTAGGCAACCCGACATGGTACTTCTTTCCTTCGCAAGCCGATAACAGTGGGGTGGTACTGGTAGCGGCTGCGGTGTTGGGCAGTTTCAAGATGGAGAAAAGCATTGCGAGTTGCGTGCTGAAAACGGACCTGTAGGCTTATCGAACTCAGGACATGCAGCTGTGGCCAGAGCAGCAGATAAGGAGGATGCCTCTGCCTCCGTTGACTCGAAGACAGGCACAATCGACAACAGTGCCTGCCAGCTTCTCTTCACATGCATGTGCTGGAAAGATTCCGACTGCAGCCATCTGGGCCAATGCCTTCTCGGATGACCTAGCCGAAGTCTCGGATCAGGATAGAAACAGAGACGTACCTCAGTTACTCGTGCTTTCTTAACTTTGGCAGTCTTGAAGTTCAAACACCTGTCCTGTCCTTTTTCCGCTTTGCCATGCTTGTGGCCAGAAGCCGTTGGGCCTGGTGTTCGCCGCTTGCTCATTTGCTCCGTCCTGTTCTGGCCAATGGGCGGCTGGCATTGCAATGTCAAGATCAGGGCCGTGCTCCATACCGGTCAATCAGCTGGGGACAACCGCTCGACGCCACATGGCGACGCCTGCAAGCCCCGAAGGCTCCGAGATTCCAAAGAGCCTTCGCTTCAGTGCACGAGGTCCTCGCAAACGGTGACATTCCATTTCCGCGCGTCCGCGTGGTTGACGACACAGGGCTGGTTGGAGACTTTCTTCTAGGCGAGGCCCTGGCTCTGGCGAAGCAGCGTCGGACAGACCTCGTCGTTTTGTCAGGGCAGGTTGAGCCTCCGCTGTGCCGGCTTGTAAACCTGCATGTGTATATCGAGGAAATGGATCGTCAAGCTGCCTCGAAGGAGGAGCAGAAACGTGAGCAGCGTCTGAGGGAATTTAGTTTCGACCCAGCGATGCGAGTCAAAGGAATGCGGTTCACCTCGGTAATTGACGAGCACGACTTTGAAAGAAAACTGAATCAGGTTCGCAAATTTCTCGAAAAGGGTCACAGAGTGGAGGCTCGAATTCTTCAGAGTCGTGGCAAGCCCGAAGATGTGCTTGACCTTGCTTTGCGGATCATCGCTGAAATACGTGACTTGGCCAAGCCTGAATACTTCGAGGAAAGTATCCGGGAACTCCAGATGGCGATTCACTCGCCAAAAAGTCTGAAGCGTACCGGCCGTGCTCCACCCGATGAGCTGAGAATGCGACTGTGGCCGTGCACGCCAGAACAGGCTGCAGCCTTTCGCCTGCCTGCCCACATCATGGGCCCGCGCCGGCGCAAGGGGCCAGCAATCGTTGGTATTGATGATGGGCCGCAAGATGAGTTTGCCTGGAAGCTTAACCGACGACCACGGCCAGAATCGCGGACCGCTCGCAGAAGTGAGCTTCGACGCGATGCGTTGGAAACAAGCGAGTAGCAACTCGGTCGACGACCAGGATCCCCCACACAGGCCAAGGTCCAAGTCAGCGAATCCGGGCGCCGACGATGGAAGATGCACTGCAGAGTCAAGGTCGCGACAGCAGCAACAGATGTCCCTAGGACACCGTTTAGTTGCGGGAGCACATGGCCCAAAGTGGACCGGTCCCGGCAAGCATGTGTAACGCTGACGATCGCCCCGAGCGCAGTTTCGTGCACACTTGATGTTCCTGATTTGATTTTGGCGGCGAGCATACGGAACAGTGCATGGAGGCACATGTTAGCCCTCTGAACCCATGGCAGGAAACGAGCGAATCGCTTCCATTTTCGAAGAGATGAGTGTCATACAGAAGCTGCGCCGGGACCGGTTCCGTTCACAGGCGCCGAGAGCCCTCGACTCGTCAGTCAGAAGAGCCGACTGAGCCGCCAGGCCTATGCCAAAGCTGCGCAGGCTCTTCGGGCCCACCAGGAGCCGATTGCGAGTGGCGCTCAAGCCAAGGGCATTCCAGGCATCGGCTCTGGCATGGCCGGCCGGATTGACGCATTCTGCTCAGAACCTGCTGCACCTGCTGCCCTGGTGGGAGTCTTGTGGGGCCAATGTGGCAAGTCGATGCTGTATCTGAGGTGATTCTGGCGACTGGAGAACTCAGCGAGCTGGATGAGCTGAAGCGTGACAGCGATGTCATCGCATTGCGCGAACTTCGGTCCGCGAGGGCCGTAATGGCAAATCACTTGCGAGAGGCCTCAGAAAATCATCGAATGTACCAGTTGCATCCCGAGGTACATGGCATTGGGGCAGTTCGCGCAGCGGAGCTCGTGGAGCGGGGCATCCGGTCACTGCTGCACCTGCGCGAAGCCGTTGCCAAGAATCAGGCGTGTCTGGGCACTTTGTCATCTTTCTTCTCACGCACATCGAGTAATGCCAGGTTCACCTCGATGCTGCTCAGGCTCATAGATGAATGTGGTGCGAGGAGCGCTGTTCGGGATTTGGACAGAGCAGGTCGTCGGACTCCGCCATTGTGAAGAGTTCGCGAAGCGGATACCTTACGCCACCTGACTGCAAAGAGCAGCGGCCATGGCGATGTCTTGTGCTTCAGCTCCAGGCCGAGATGAAGGAGCATCATCACATGCTTGAAGCCTGCAGACTGCGGAGCAATCCCAAGTTACTGCTCACAGCCGGGTCCTGAGAAGCAAGCTGAAACCTGCGCTTCAAACGCACTTCGATGTGAGACAACCAAGGTTTGTGGTTCCTACCGGCGGGAACGACCTGATTGTGGTGATATTGACACTTTCCCTTTGTTTCAGATGCATACCCAACTGCATCCCTTTCTTTTGTTACATTGCTGTTTGCACATGATTTTGCACTGAAGCTGGCAGTGCTCAGCTCCCTTTGCAAGGATGTGTTGATCAGCCACCCTGATTACACAACGGCAAAGCGCGATGCCAACGCTGGAGGGAAGCTCCTGCATGCCTTTGTCCCTCCTCGCGAGATAAGGGTGTATCATCAGCTGGAAGAATGAGCACTTGTAAAATTCTTTCCTGCCACAAGCTGAAGTTTGAGGTGGAGGCTCTGAAGCATGGTGGGTACGTGACAGCGGACTTGGCTTTCGGCAACACGAAGTTTATGGGTGTTTGCAGGCCGCCATTTGCGAGCTGTGTGGGTCAAGCTGGGCAGTAAGGGCAGCAGTCGAGTCCCTTGTGGAAAAAAAATTCTTCTGTGGGGACTTTCGAATGTACGTGCACAGATGACTTCGAGAGTTGAATCCACAGGCTGTCGGGAGACGAGCGCTTGCACCGACGGCTCGACATCCGCTGCTTGCCCAACGACCAGTACCACTTTGGTGTGGGCCCGAGCCGACGAGCCGATCCCGGAGTTCAATGTCCGCTTGACACATGCACTTGATGGTATTTGCACATGGCAGTAGGCCGCTCTCTGCAAACGCCGCTTTTGGCTGCAGTACTGGTTAGAAGGTCAGGCATGTTTCCCTGAACAACGAGGTCGGCACCCGTAAGCCTGGAAGTTTGCAAGGCTTTTGCATTTAGGCAAACAAGTCCGCTAGCTGCATCGTTTTGACAAGCACTGTTGTCACCATGAGCTTGGACTGGAGCGATCGGGATTTGCTGGAGCAGCTTGGCTGTTACTGGGTTGGACGAGCCCTTCTAACCACTTGTAGTGAACAGTTGACCCGCACGGTGCTCAGAAGAAAAAGCATTTAAACCTCCTGCTGGCTGCAAGCTTCAAAGGTGGGCACAGCGGACGTTGCCCGAGTTTCTGTTGATGAGCATGCAGGACTCGTCTGACAGGACTGTTTCCGCCTTGATTTCTGCGAGTCGAGCATTTCAGCAAAGCAAGCAAGAGTCAAGATTTTTCCAAAGGAAAAGAAGCATTGCCTCGACCCCATGGCAACACTACGAGCTTTCCATCGCGGAGGTTCAGCTGGAAGGCCTGCCGGGCAATGGGAGGTTTGCAGTGATGGGCACGAGCGTGCATGAGCTGTAGCTGTGAGGTGAGGTGAACTTGATTGGCAAAAAGGACGAGCCCATGTTGCAGTTCGACATCGACCTGGGGATGCGCGTGGATGTTGAGAAGAGAGTTGCACCTGAGCTTGGCCCATGTTGCAGCATGAGGAGATATGTGGGTGTAAATGTGACAGCGTAGCACATGTCTACATCGCAGGTAGATCGCGCGAGAAATGATGACACCGACTATTGGCCGGGCATCGCACAAATCGTGCACTTTGCCACTTGGGCTGACCAACTGCTTGGACGGTTGTTAGACTGGCAGTACAGTATGTTTCTTCTGACTAGCTGATGGCGGTATCCATTGGAGAGTGCCCTAATTCGTTTTTAACTAAGTGTGTGACCGACCACCACCAAGGACAACGAGAACATGAAGCCGTCGATCATTACACGTCTACAAGAGCTGCCAGAAGATGTGGCGCCCGAGGTAAACTGGTACCTCCAGGATGCCCGGCATACCCAGACCTTTCATGGCAAGCTACTTTCACCTGCCTCCTCCTGAGGAGGGAATGGGCCGGCAGTTCATCTGGCATGGATTAGCTAGGTGGCATGCTTATGCAGCTTCCTGGCGGCAAGCTGCATGTTGACTGATGCAGGTCGGACAAATCATGGCCGACAGAAGGGAGCCCTAAGGTCCAAAAGTGGCTGAAGCAGCAGATTGCGCCCGCAGTGCAGGACGGGTGCAGACTGACACCGCCGAAGTATGTGAGCCAACATGTGACGACATGGAACCAACCCTCGTCGTTTCCGGAGCTGCACGTTGCATCTTGAATCTTCAAGGGCGAAGTCGCGGAGTCCCATCGGTAGTTGTTGCTGGTTGGAGTCCTGCGTACCATTCTCAATGCGGAAGAGTGCAAGAGAAAGCGGGAGGACGGGCGGGCGAGAACACTCTCCAAATTCAAGTTTCGCAACTGTTGGAGCATGCACATGCAGGCACAAAGGCATATTGAGCCTTCACGTATCAAAGAGACCTATCCGGAGGTGTCCAAGCCAAAAATCTCACGGAAGACGGATTCTGTTCCATGTCAGCTCGCATTCTTGAGCGGCCCGGGCAGTCCAGGCAGACCTTCGCCTTTTTTCGGTCAGAGCCTTCGCACGGATAGACCGATGGATGCTTAAGTAGATGCGCATAGATGCAAAACATAATTGACAGACACCCACACACGGCACGTCCCGTTGGAAGCCTGGCTTTAATGAATTTGTCTGTATCCATCCGCAGGTGCTTGGCAATCTTGCGCTCGTGTCTTCGTTTTGCGTGATTCCCCTGCCCAGGATCCGCGTGACTGTCCAGTGCCCGCTCCATCCTTTCCACCGTTTCTTGTGGAAGCCCGCAAGAGGCCCGACAAGGTTGTGCGTGCAGGGGCTCACGGTTCGTAGAAGTCATATCGGTAAAGAGGGTCTCGGAGAATCATGCAAAGGTACGAAGACGAGATCCGACAAATCCTGTTGAATTCAGATGATGAGGAGGAGTTGGTTGATGCTGGTGTTCGCACACCATATATATGTGGGAAAGCTCAGCTTCCTGAATTCTCGGAGGAAGATGTGAACACCCGCTCCCTTCTCGATGATATGGAGCAGGTGGACATTCCCTGGGATTCGGTGTCTGTTCGTAGATCCAGCTGTCCTTGACATCAGCTTCCCAACACCATGGCAGCCAGGATGCCGGCCTCAGGTTGCCGCTCGCTGGGCCAAGCCAGATCCCCTCGCTGTCCGGGAAGATTTTGTCGGAGATGGACGGTTATCCAGAATATGCGCTTCGGCTGAACTCGATAGTGTGTCGGGATTGTCGCAATGCGAGTCGCAACGCGAGTCTTAAGGTCAGCCCGCCAGTTTCCGATGACGAAGACGACTTTGACCCCTCCGCGCCGTACGAATTTAGCGATGACACCTTTGAGTGTAAACGGAAGGGGGCTCCGCCAAACATGAAGAAGTTTGGTCGATACCCTTTTCTCCCATCCATGCTTGCAGGCAGCTCGCGAGCCTAAAGCATCGTAAACTAGAGCTACTGCACCGAATCCATGCACGCAGTGGCTGGTGCAGGCCTGGGTGGTCCGTCAAAGGACTGGCTACCTCCAAAGCAGCATGCAATTGCTCATCCGGAGTGGTTTCAGACTGCTGCAAGGTCTGTCGTCAACACTAATGGTGTCACACACTTGGACCACATCTTGGAAAAGGCGCGAAAGCGCAGGGAAGAGTTTGCAGCATCATCGGCGAACAAGCTCATATCGATGCGCGCGGCGGATCTTTGCTTGGCCATCGAGAAGGGTGATGCCATGAAAGCTTTTGCCAAGCTCGATGAGGAGACAGCCAGTTGCCCTCATCCTGACACCGGGCGCTGTGCAGCCCACTACTGCATCGCCAAGTCCTCCCACGAGATGCTGCGGATGGTGCTGGAAGCCAGGGCTGACCCAGATGCTCGCGACTCCTTTGGACAAACTGCTCTGATGATGGCCGCGAAGCAGGCCCAGCAGCAGAGAGCTTCAGCGCAGCCCATGTGCCTAGGCGTGTCTAGGCGCAGACAAGCGTGGCATTGCATGTTGCAGGGCGACGACGAGTCGGCGAAGATGCTCTTGGAAGCCGGAGCAGATGCTACGCTGACGGACTCCCTGAACCGCTCAGCGTCAGAAATGATCAAGGCAGAGCTCTAAAGCCGCAGCAATTTTAACTCGGCTGCATGTGGCTGTTTCAGGTCGCGCAGACTCAAGGGGAGGAGGAGAATCCACTTCGGCACTGGCGGGAGAAGATGATGGGAGAACCAATCCCCGAGGATCCCTCGAAAAAGAGTCGCGATCTAAAAGCCTTGATCGATGATCGAGAGCGACCGAAGAAGTATGGGGCTTTGTTGCTCGGCGCGCTGGCTCAGAAGGATGTCAGGACGGCCGAGGCTGCGATGGAGTCAGGTGCAGATGTGAACCTTCCAGACGACAGGGGGGACACTGCCCTCCTGCTTATCGTCTGATCCCGAGCTGTGTCTTCTAGGTTTCGTGGTTCTTCCGAAAGAGCCAAGGGCTGCACTGGCATGGACTGAGGTCAAAAGCAAATGGAAGGACTCTCAAGGTTTGCAGAGCCGATTGGTGAACAAGGCATACAAAGCTGGTGCGAGCGTGAACTTCCAGAATCTACAAGGCAACTCTGGCTTACACTTCGCATCCCACCGTGGAAGCCTTGAGCTGACCAACTTGCTCTTGAGCTTGAAAGCCAACCCGCGCCTCTCGAATAGCGAGGGCAACACGCCGTTGATGTACGCGGCTCATAGCGGCCACGAGGAAGTCTGTGCAGCACTGCTTGAAGCGGGTGCCCCGGTGGAAGTGAAAAATCGGGCAGGGCTTACTGCACAAGATATGGCAGAGCGGAAAAACTTCAAGTCCACAGCCGCTTTGATTCACGCCTATCTGCTGGCACCCAAGAAGGCCCTGCTGTGGAGCATCCCCAAAACTTGCCTTGCGTTTGACATGCTAGCCAGCTAGTCTCGCAGACTTTGTGCAGGATAATGAAGCCAAGAAAGTGGAGGCAAAGCGGAAAGATGCCAAACCCCACAAGCTGGACTTCGACTACTCAAAATGGGATTCCTTGGAGCGAGAGATGCGTGAAGATGAGGAAGAGGAGCAGACAACTCGGATGCGAGAGTCAAGTGCAGCTGCTCGAAGGCCCTGTCGCCTTGCATTGTCCGAGACCAGGGTGCTTCGACTTCTAGACTCTAGACTGTAGGTAGGCCCTGATGTGGCAATTGTGTGGGGAACCGTGTGAGCTTGTCACACACACTTGTCGGAGCGAACGTCGTGCAAGAGGCAGAAAACCGGGAGCGCAAAAGCGGCGGACCGCGCACCAATAACCTCGCCTGGCTTGTGTGAGTGTGAGCGCCGAAGAGCGGCGGACAAGGGAATCAGCTCAAACCCAGCGAGCCGGAAACTCGCCGTGGCATAATGCGGAGAACACTGGGGCCAACATTTTGCTAGGCTGCTTTCTTTGGTGTAAGTGGAATGCTCGGAGACTCTACGGTTGCAGTTCTGCAGTGGGGCAGTTGTCAGGCCGATGCCAAAGTTTGAAGACCTGGGACCGGAAGCCTTTGGCCTGCCTGCCGACACCCCTTGGCCGCCCGATGCCTCCAAGAGGAAGAAGGGGCCCTTCGACTATGGACATTGGGACAAAATCGTGGACGACATCGAGCGCCAAGAGAAGGTGTTAGACAGGTACGACCGCTTGCAAAAGAATCCGCAGTACGAGTACCGAGATGGCCAGAAGATGCAGGTGATCTTCTGACCTCGGTCTTGGGACTCCTTGCATCCGTCAAGCCTATATGCTGCGGTGAAGCCTTCGCACCACAGCCGTGCGAGCAGGTTTGGCGCACCACTGTTGGAAGATGGTCCGGATCGAACTAGCTGTCGATCGAGCGTATGTTACCCTGTCTCAGCACCGCTATGGCCGGAGCTGTAGCTTCACGTCTCTTCTGATACATGTAGCGGCGAGGAAGAAACGGTCTGTTCGCTCAGTGCCTACTTCACAAGGCAGCAGGCCCTGGCCACATGCTTAAGGAATGCTGTACTTCACCGGCAGTGCGGTTCTGGCCTCGGAGGGAAAAGCTGAGTCTGCGGCGGTGCGTGGTACTCACGGCAGGCGCTTGGTGTGAAGATGCGCCTGAGACTGGGGCCTGAAGTTTGGCAAGTGGCAGTGGTGTGTTTACGCTTCAAAATTACACTTATACCCGCCGTATACCCGATATCATCCTCTCTGCTGAATCAGCACGAACCCGCAACGGAGGCTGAGCAATTGGCTTGTGCTGTTTGCACGGTCTTGTTGCGGATGCCGTAACACCTACATTTTTGGTCGTAGAAGGTTTGGAGCGGTGCCTGTGTACATCACAGGAAAGCCATTGAACTTGGACTCACACTCAGTGAGTACGGGCTGGAGAATCGGAAGACCGGAGAGAAGGCGCACTAAGATGCGAGCGCGTGCACGCAGCATTCAATTCACCTAGGACCTAGGGAGGAACATGTGCCCCGATTTAGTGACAGGTCAAAGCCAGCTGCGAGCAGGATATTTTCAGATGCCTGGCTACAGCAAAAGTTTGCAGACTCTTTCAGGTGGTGCATGTGCGACGACGGTATCTCTTCTGAGGTGCACTGGGCATGTCCTACCTGGAACCCAACGAGCGCTGACCTATGGAGACAAAGCCTGCCTGACCAGGTGATGGACTCCTTTGTGTGTGGTAGGATGGTCGACGAGTCAATGGGCCAAGATGTTCTCAGAGGTTTGCGCCGCAGCAGGCGGCCAAGCTCGGATCCGAGGTGGGCAGGTCTGAAACCTGGAAGGGTCACACAACTCTTTCAACCTGACAGCGCCTCGCTGGAATCCGAAAGTTTCATCCCTAGCTCCAGCTGGCTCTTGGGCTGGTCGAAAAAGTCACATCCAACCTGTTGTGCTGCCGTTGGGCGCTGGTGTGCACAGGTGCAGACAAGGAGGCACCGCATGCCGCATGTTTGCATGCCGAATTGTGGCTTCAGCATTTTGCACCAGAATACTGCGCCAGCCTAGCAAGAGCCGATTCAACGCCATATATACGCCATGGTGAGCCCGGCTATGCTGAAGGGGATGAACACGGAGGTCTCCAGCCCAACTTGCTTCTAGTAGATACGCTTGCATGACGAATTTGCATGTGTTGTGCTGGTTGGAGGTGTATGGCGAGGGGCATCCGTTCGGCGATCCAGCATGGTATCAGGCATACAACACGCCCTACTACAACGACAGCCACAAGCAGTTCCGAAAGCTGATGCGCGAGTACGTTGATGAGCACATCATGAGCGACCTAGTAGTCTCGTAAGCAAGCTTTGACCGTTTTGGGCTATGAAACCCTGTGAACCTTTACGTTGTTTCCCCAGGAAGCTGGACAAGTAAGGCAATGTGCACGACTGGGATGCTAGATTGGACCAGCAGAAAGTTGTTTCCCTGTGGCTATTGAGACCTGCTTCTACTTCCTGCATGCAGTGCAAGTTTTCTGCCAAGGACGAGAAGGGCGT